GCGAGCCATGCGTGATAGGAAAACTGGAGAAACGATCATGGAATGAAAGTGTTAAATTTTAAATAAAATTTTAATTTTTATTGTTTTGAAACTTTGGTTTATGGTGGTTTTGATTGAAGAATACTTTAGATTTATTTTAGTTTAGTTCACGGTATGAATTTTAACAATTTAGTTGAACCTAAAGATTTTTTTTTTCTTTGAGGTAGTTTCAAATTTTTAAAGTTATAATATGAAAAAAAAATTTCGAGGATTTCATTAAGTCATTCAAAGTAAAGTGTTTCAAGTTTAACTATTTTCCGCATTCTTTAAGAAGTATATGTTTGAAAGTTAAGATAATTATGACGATCCGTGAGGGGTCGTTACAGCTTTATCCACCAACGAAGCCTCATACTTAAAACATCTAAAGCAACCCGAAAACTGCTTGTGGAGCACTTCTCCATCAAAAGCCTTACCCACCTCTCGAGTCACTCCTCCATCAACTACTCAATCACTCCTCCCACCATTCTTCATCCGTGAAGTTTCGTATTTATATATTTTATGAGTTCTCTAACTTGTTTTGCTGGTGCATCTCGAATATTCAGCAACGAAGAGGGCCCTAGGATCCGATTCCTGCTGTTCTCTTCAGGGTTAACCGACCCCACCTCTCCGTTGGAGGTCATGACATTGTCATCAACTCCAAAGGCCCGTTAAGTACTTTGGCCACATTGGAATCGCCACGAACAAGTCAAAGATTTACACATGTGCACCCCTGACATGTCATACCTTCCAAATCTACCAGATGCTGATAGTAGTTATCCCAAAAGAAGATTATCATGTAAATAGGAAACTATAAATAGGGGGGTAGGAATTAAAAAATCCCTCGAAGTCTCAGTCTGAGCAAATTAGGGCATGTATTCTCCTCCATTCCAATAGTGAAACTATTCTCTCTCTACCCACAATAGACGTAGTTCTCGAATTGAAAGTGAACCACTATAAATTTCTATGTTTTTCTATTTTGATTCTCATTATTTGCATTAATTACATTTATTATTTATTATTTTGGTGCATTAATTAATTAGCTGAAAGATTCGTGAATCTTGAGTTAACGAATTTTCATTGTCAACAACAATACTTATGAGAAGGATTTAAAATACAAGATTAAAAACAAAATTAAAAAATTTTATATCCAAGCAAGAATAGAAAAGAAAAGAAAAGAAAAAAAAAAAAAAAACCTAAGCTAGTAAATAATCAAGTGCAAAACTTATGACGGCCAATATCCCCTTTTCAATATATATAGTAGAATTGCACAATCCAAGAGTGCAACTTTCTTTTCGTAATGGAATAAATAAAAATTATAATTATATTTGATTTAAGTAAACAATAATCATTGAAAATTCAAGCCCATATGTTCTCCTTATTAACCCCATAAGTTTCCGAGATGAATTAATGGAATTTTATTGGATATATATTTTCCATTTTCCGGGACTGTATAAAATTCCTGTCCACGAGGACCACTCCAAATGCACAACTTATATTGAATGAAAAACGTAAGCTCTCTCATATTGATGAAGCTAACGCCTCATACTCCAATGTACCTTACGTTACTCTCTTCAACTAGTTTTTTTATCTCTCTAATCTTTTAAAAAATATATATTTTTTGATTAAAACATAACACTTAAACTGTAGAACTAAGTTTATCATGGAAAATGTATGTGCAAATGATGGCGAAGCAAGTCAATATTGTGAAGAAACGAGGCAAAGAGAAGAGTATATCTTGAAGAAACGAGGAAAAGAGAATAAGTAGCCATGACTTAAATTAGGCCGAATAACCCGAGTGTCCGAGCTGTATGTCGGTAATAGAGATCGATGCAGTCGACATACAGGCGCTTCAAGCTGGCATTGCAGGGTGATTCTCGTACGCAGTATTGCCGGAGACCTCAGTCATAACAGCTTATGGTAATGTATCTTCCAGTAGAAAAGGATTATTCAGTAATATATTATGTGCTTTGCTCTCAACAAGTACTTTCTATTTTTTCTTTCTTGACAAAACATGGTATCCATTCCATATTAAGGAAAGGAAAAAAAAAAAAAAAGGGAGGAACGAATGGTGTGATTGTCACCTATTTTCAACTATTATATGTACACAATTGTGTGGCAAAGGTGTAATATATTTGTCCGACTTGCGAATAGATAATATGTTATTAGGCATATTGTTAGCAATGTAAGGGTTCTGTAAATGTCCGAGAAGGACATGGATCATGTTGGTTCGGGCTTCGGAGTGCTGTAGAAGATGTACATGTCCATGTAGCCTAGTCCGTGAGCGGAGATCTACAAACCTTGTGAACCAATTACCTTCATTTTCTTCATTTTTTTTTTGGAGGGTAAGACCTAGAAACTTCATTAAGGGCATTCGGTCAAAATCAAATAAAAATACCTGAGGGATGGGGCCATTTACAAGCCAATCGCGCTCTTTCGATGACGACATTGCAAACTTCACAAGTGAGTAGGGTGTCATATTTTCATTTCTAGCAATATGGTACGTAGAATTTGCCCACCACCCGCTGAAAACGAAATTAAGGTGAAAAGAGAAATATGAGAAACAATAGCACTAAGAAGAGAAATTGAATTTGAGCTTTATGGCACATATTGCGTTGAGAAAATCACTCTCAACCAAAGAAGGTTAATAAGACCAGCATCAATAGCAAAGGAGATCGCCTCTTTGATCTCTGATCGCCTCTAGTTTAGCTTCAATCGACTAGCAATTAGGCGCGGCGAAAGGGAGAAGCAGACCGGGGAAGCCTTAAATTTTGACTAGGCATCTAAAACTCGGTGATGAAACGCTGCGCTGCTTCCACCAAACTTGAGGCAAGCCTTCTTCTTAATTATTCTGGTGGATGAAAGAGTTTCTATCAGACTAGAGAGACCAAATATTTGCCACACAGATTCTTCAAGCAGCTCAATCTTTAGCCACGACTTCAAGGAAATTAAGAAGGAGATCCTTCACAGTTTAATTACTACTATTTTAATACATGAATATTGGCATTCTTGCATACCTGAAAGAGTTTAATATTCTTATGCACCACCTAATACAATACTATGTTATTCCTGAGAATCTAAGAGAAGATTCTTATATAATGATTGCTGTATTCAACCAAACGTCCTAATGCAAGTTTCTTGTGAACCATATTATTACCTTTTATCACTTTTCAAGTATCGTGACTGACGAGCTTATTGATTACTGCATACCAAACACTCCCTAAAGCTTCAAATGGTACACCAGAAAGGAGAACAAAGCCAGACGGGGTCAGCCCGAGGATCATTATCAAATTGGTTGCAATCTTTTTCTGTCCATGAGGATCCCATTACAGTGCCTTCTACTTCTACATCATAATCATTCTCAACAAGAGGAGGGTGTGAAAAATAGTTTCTAGTTGGGGTATTCATCGGTCGGTTGGTCGGTTTCTGATATGCTTCAATGCCACTTGGTTCTCAATTTTTTTTTTAACAGATAGCGGCATGTTCTGTTTATAGGTTTGAACAGAAAATTTGAATAAAAATGCAAAGTTTTTGTAAGAGAAAACGTTATAACAAAATAGCAAAAAGGTTTGAGTTGTGGTTAATACTCGTGAAACAGATGGGTTACTAGTTTCTAGACCATTGACATCTTCTCGAGGTTGGAGAGACGTTAGCCCCTTCACTTTCGCCAATATTGTATGAGATCTCTTGATATTACAGAAAAAATCTCCAACAAATTAAATACCAGCTCACTTAACTAAAATATTTGGACAAGTTTAGGAAAAGAAACTGGACTTTTCAGTTGTGACCTTCACTTGAAAGCCAAGCGGGAAAATACATATACTTCTGTCGTAACTAGTGCTCAAGTTATAAGTTTCGTAGAAAGCTAGAAAATTCTATTGAAAGTTGGTAAAGCCAGTTTAATGTCGGAAAAATAAATAAGGTGAGAGCTGAGAGTCCTGGAGCTGTATCTTAAAAAATATATATATAAATTTTTCCTGTTAAAAAAGTAGATCACAGATTCTTACTTTTGCTTGACATGTACATATTCTATATATCATAGTTTTGCTTGATTGTTCTTTTTCTGAATCAGTCTATATATACACAAGTTGACAAAGATTTCTTCTTTCCATCCATTTTAGTATTGTTATGCACAGGTTATTAAGCTTACTTGTTATCTTTTGATAACAAACCTCCGATTCTCATTAAAAAGATCAGTTTCTTGACTATTCTCTTGTGATATTTGTATAAAATTTTAATGGTTTCAAAATAAATTAAAAGACTTAGCAAGTTAGCAACAGATAAACAGAAATAGTAAGAATCAAGATGATTAGAGCACTAAAGCCAGACAACAATGACGCCCATGGTGGAGTTGTGTAATCTATTTCAAGCTGCCTTTCGTTTATTGCATGTATGTAGCCTTGTAGAGAGATCTAGAAACACATTCTTGGCGTAGATAATTGGTATGGGATGAGCAGTACAAAGCAAATTAGACGCCGTTGCACAACTCAAATAATGATGAAAACCTTGTGCTCATCTCCAGCCAAGTTTGCTCCGTTGCTAACACTAGAAAAGGTGGCTTTCAGGTTTCATCGCTTAGCAGCTTCGGTGAATCATCGGTAGACCAGTGAGCTATTACGCTTTCCTCAAAAGGGCTGCATTTTGGCGTCTGCTTCCAAGTATACTTCAAACGTGTTTCTACTATGTATGGAAATTAACTCATTCCATAACTCTCTTTACTGTGATTAATCTTTGTTTTGTAGTTGACATTTGGCTGAAAAATATAATTTTCTGAAATTGCAGTGCTATTTCTCTTTACTGTGATCTATGTAGTATCTTTGCCATTGATGATGTTGCACTTTCTTTTTCTGAGTTTTAATCAGATTAGACCATAGTATTTGAAGAATAACGGCGCCTTTGGCCGATTAATTATGACTCCAAATTATTTTGAGTTTGCAGAAATTTCAATGTCAATGTTATAAATTATACAAGCAACAGTTTCCCCTACACTAATGGTACATGTATGTAATTGCTACCCTATTTCCTACTATCCTTCTCTAACTAGGAATTGTGAATTCTAAGAACAAAATCTACTTAGAAAAACTGGGATATCAGGTGCTACTAAAAACGAGATCGCGTCACATAAACCAACGGGTATGAGTTAGTCTCCCCATCATCTCTTTCGAGTTATGAATTCGATCGCGCTACATTTGACTTGGAGACTGATGATGCAGATGATTGCAACCTGGAACCTGTAATTTGTAGAATAGGAGTGATTCACTGACTTTGTTACAGCTGAAAAGCAACGGATTAGTTAACAAAAAAAATAAATAAATAAATCAATTTAAAATATTTCATATTTCCGGCTGATCAAACCAAAAGAAAATAGAGAAATGATTAGGCTCCGTACTCAGCTAATTCGGTTAGCTGATTCCACGAGAATGGTTATTCATTTCAAGGAAGGCAAATCTTATACTATGGTATTAAAGGAAACAGTAGCTGAATGATTCTTAAGAACCAAGTTCCTTAGTATGCTTTGTTTTTGTTTGATTTCTACTTATCAGAATGTGAGTAACTGCAAGTAGTCTTCCAACAACAAAAGGGGTATAAAAGAGGTTGATCAAAACAAAGTATTTTGGTCTATCTGCTATTTGGAACAGCTGAAAATGGCTAAAAATTAACTGCTATGTGTACAAGATTTTATAAGCTTGTTTTTGTGCACTTGCTCTTTAAATTAGTCTGCCATGTCCGTCAGCATACTGAACCGACGACATTTAACCATAGTAAATGCTGTCATCAAATGCTGTCATTTCTTTAATATGATGCGATAGCGGTCTAATTACACGTAACTACTTAAGTTTTTGCGGTTACTTGTCCTTTGTTTGCTAAGATCATCATAGATTATTAATGTGTGCATTCCTATTATTAGCAAAATCTCTAGAAGACATGTATGTTAGATCCTTTTTACAACAAATTGCAGATTATATATGCGATAGTATGAGCCTTCAATTGTATCAGCTATACTAATTCTTATTGTGATCACAAGCTAGGACAACAATTTTCTGTTCTTTTGCTGCTGTTCATTAAATTCATGAACACACTAATTAGCTATTTCTTAGAGGTATATATGAGCATTTTCAAAAAAGGTCTAGAAAAGGATAACAGTTAAAGTTCAACATAAAAAATATCAGTCTATTGACCTGGGTTGGTAACCATTATTTATAACTGCATGCTATAATTATTAGCTCCTGAGATATTTGAAAAACTGTTGTTTCAGAAAGATTTTATGCCCATAATGTCAATAACATATGTGATTGTTTGTGTTAGTAAATACCAACTTAAAGTCTCTGCAATAGAATAATTTCCCTCTTACAGGAAGCAAAATAATTAATGGAACCGAGACCATACCGTTAGTTATGCATTTGTTTTTCATTTTTCTCTGGATCCATATTACAGGAGTTTGAACTGCAGCCACTGAACTTGAGATTCGCTATCCGTTCTTTTCCATTTAGCGTATCGATATCACCTTCACAATTGCCTGTGTGAAGCTTATAATTTAAGCAATCCTCCGTTAGCTCGGACTTCTCCATATCAGTCACCTCTTCAATTTCTTCAACCATGCGCTCATCGGGCTTGCTCAAACCACAATACAAATTTTTCATCTTTAACGGATCCTCGTATGTACAAGGCTTAGCGACAGATAATATATCAACAACTGATTTCTTCTTGTGCCTTCCCTTATGCCTTCTTCGCTTAACTCTCAGCCTCTTGGTCGAATTCATTGTCTCATTGCACTGATGATCATGGAGGAGCGATCCTGACATGGCAGCAGAAGGTTGATTTTTGGAAACTATGATACTAGAAGTAACATCAGAAATGAGGTGATTATCATTGTCTTCATGCTCACACGTATTGCTAGAAAGAGATAGATGGCGATCCTCTTTGGCGTCACCACAAATATTGGATACTGTTTCGTCAGCCTTGATCAAATTGCATTCCTCTTTCGAAATAGCCTCCTGGTCTACAGTGGTTTGATGAATTCTATGGACGGGACTAGCTATACTTTGTTTACTTTGTCGGGAACAATTCAAACGCCTAAGACCTCTAATAGATTCAATAGCTATATGGTGGGGTTCAAATGGTGGCAAGGCATCGTTGATACCGTGACTTAGACACATCTGCAAGTACTTTTCTGGAAATGGCCAGTTGTGGAAGAAATCTTTCTGACGATAAGCAAGAACATATTGTCTGCAATATATAACCAAAAAAAAAAAAAAGAAAAAAAGTAAAAAGTGAAACTCTCATTCATAAAATTAACATATCCTGAGATGCTTAGAAGAAGGAAATTGATGTGCAAAAACTTTGATAGTAAACAGAGAATAGAATAGTAATTTAGCTCATAGTCGCATACATAAGAACCAAAGTTCAAAGACAAAATCCTACCTATTATTCAAAAATAAATAGATAAGTAAACCTGATTTTTTTTATTTTTATTTTTTAAAAAAGTGGGCAAATTCAAATATAAAATTAGAATCATCCTTTTTATTTCGATGATTAAATTAAAATACAAATTTCAAGCTTTATCTTCTGCTTAGTTGAAAAATAATCTATGCTAAGCAAAATCCTTAAGTTTCTTTGACTCCTACAAATAATACTCCAAATTTGACTTTGAAACATATGAATAGAGCAAATGGAAACAGAAATCTACATCAGAGATTCATGAAAATAAGCAGTGCATAGGGAAAAATACAGATTACCACATAGAAAAAAGAAAAAAAAAATTAGCACCATTATCTTCTGTAAACAGAAATGATTACCTTATTGAGAATGATTTGAAATCTGGTTTCTGCAGAGATTGCAAAACCTCATGAAGATTTTGCTGCTGCTGAGACATTATTATATATAGAGAAGAAACAGCTCAATTACGTTTTGAGGAATCCAGCTAAATAGTTAATTATGATAACAATCACAAGGAAAACAACAAAACCCAGTTCGAAAAATACTTTCAGAGTATATGAAACATAAATGAAACAAAAATCACGAGCTATCAGATCCAATTGACCCGGAAGAATAGGCAAGAAAGTCGTTGCAAAGGAGCCTAAGAATAAATGGGAAACTGGGTTCAATTTAAGAAAACATTAACCTTTGCATAATGGGAAAATTTCGATAGAGAAAGCGGTGAATTGGGAAGAATAAAGGTAGGTTTTCGAAGAAAATAATAGCTCTGACAAAGAGAAAAAAAGAAAAAAAGGACGAGAAGATTTAGGATAGAATAGTAATGTGTTTGTGTGTTGGGAAAGTACAGAGCAGAATTTGTTTCGTAGAAAGAGGAATCTACATTGATGTGATTGAAAAAGAAAACAAAAAGAAGAGGGGAAATTCTCTTCTTCTTGTTTTGCGGAGAGAATAATAATAATATAACGAACAGAACTAGTTTTTGTTTTTACACGAGTTTGAGTTCGTTCTTGAGTTAGAAGAGACGAAGCTTCAAGGAAACAGTATAAAGAAAGAGAGAGAAAGTGGAAGTAACATTCACTTGTGGGGTTTTCTTTTCTGTTTTTTTTTTTTTTTTTTTTTTTTTTTTTTTTTTTTTTTTTTTTTTTTTTTTTGATAAGTTTCATTTAATTAAAACAAAATTTACTCAAATTAGTTGCAAGTGAGCACCACCTACGACAGAATTTGACCTCGAACATTGATTGGATCCACCAGTACAGAGATGAAACACAAGTGTCGAAATCCAATGGGGAAAGACCTACTAGGCACATAACGATCGAGTGCAACCAAAGCTCGGTAGATAGAACCACTACAATCGAGAGATTAACCCAGTTGACCGAGAACAAACCCCAAATAATGTGGACAAAAGCGACAAGACATATAACTAAATCTAGTCGGATAACATCACCCATAATATTATAAATGGGTGTGACACATTGACAAAGTTGGAAGACGGAAAAGCCAGCTTCACTCTTATAAAACTAACACAATTACAAAACAACATAAATCAACACCAAAAAGGCTAATGTATCGACGCCTTTATTACAAAATAATAAAAATAACGAAAAGAATAAATAGCCATAGAAAATAGGGAGGACTCAACGGCAACAAGTCAGCCATCGCCACAGAGTAGACAATCGAGTCTGAGAAGAGTCGCCACAAAAGGAGCATAATTGCCGATCACAAAACCAAATAAGGGGATCTTCGAAGGAAGTGTTGTACCATCGGGATCGACACTCCCATGCCACAAGCCCACCAGAAACGTCCTGCATCTCGCATAATCGGAAGCTCCAAAACTTCCATCTCTAGCAGCAAGCACCCTACACATTACGCCTCTAAAATTTGTCCACCACGACTACCACCATACTGCACCCATCAGCCGCAAGAACTATCCCCGAGACTCAGGGTACCATCACGAGGGCCGGGAGTCTGATGACCAGTCAGAGGCGGTGTCCAGACTCCAACCCTAAGAAGAAAACCAAAGAGAGAAACTCTAACTGCCTCAATGAACGTGAGAGAGAGGAAAAAGAAAAAGAAAAATAACTTTGGGTTATTTTTTTTTCCTTCTCATTTTATTATTTGTAGGTGAAATTATACATGAGTTTATTCAGAAACAGGGCAATTAAAAACTCTTTTTCTTCCTGTCAAAAAAAAAGTTTACTAATAATTTGGGACCAGCAAATAAAAATGAAGTGGGAAACTAGATGATCTACAAAGAGCAACTTCAATTTTTTGTTTTTTTTTGTTTTTTTTAAGTAGTTTTCTCGGATTTCCTATTATTTTGTTACTTTATGTGTTGGCGCTTTCCCCCCTTCCCCTTTAAGTTGCGTCGTTGTTTGTCGTTTTAACCGGTATTTTTGCAAGGAAAATCCAGTTCTTAAAGTTGTTTCTGGTTTTTGACGAGAAAAATTAACAAAGAACAATCGATAAACGTGAGTGGAAAAGCTATTTTTTTGCATTGTAATGAATCGAATTCATCTAATCAAGGACGGCAAGAAAGCTGATTTAGTTCTTAATAACATACCACCAAATCTCGATTATTGTGTTAATCCAAGTAAGCTTTAAATCTTACCACAGTTGTATAGAAGGTTTCTACTGCAAAGTTCTTAATACCCTTTTTCTTCAAGTTTATCTTTAAGTTAATGATGATTTTCTTTTCGGATTTGATGCAGTTTCTGAAAGCTTATGGGAATGTGTAGAGCCAAAAAGAAGACTTTAATACTCCTACAAAAGAATTTAAGAAGCTAACAACTAAACTCAACTAATTTCAAACAAAATGTTATCAAACCCCATTTAACTTCCTTATTTTGCATCAAATATTGTGTCAAACTAGACAGATTATAAATTTTGGACGTCACAGTTAGGCTCGATTCTGTTGAGAATTTCTTTATTTCCTGCACAAGTGTTGAGAATTTCTTGTTGGCAAGCATGATAGCAGTACTGCTTTAGCAGCTTCTCTCATTGATTTCTTTTGCTGCTGTTGAAAGATTTGAAAACATTTTGCTCCACATTCTCATAATATTAGCTCTGATATGGAGGTTGGATAACTTTCCTTTTGTTATAGATTGAAAAGTAGCACACACATTATATGATTCGCACTTTCTAGTTGTTCAATTTTTGGTTGAACATTTCTCTCCAGAAATTGGGTCGATTTTAGTTGTTCTATAATCACTTAAGAAGTTTTAAGAATGTTACTGGTGTTTGTTAAGATGTATAATATCCAAAAGAGAATTTTAAACTTTGATTAGTTGAGCAATTCTTGAAGGCCGTGTTGAAGCCAAAATGAAACCTAGCCTTAAGAAAGTGAAAACTTCCCTTTTTCCAACATTGATAAGTAAAATCTTGTTTTATAGCAGTTGGGTTTCCTTTTTATGTAGTAATCAAACCTGATTTTTGGTGGTGTTGTTGTTGTTGTTCTTATTCTTATTCTTTTTATTTTTTGCTCCGTTGTCTGTGCTTATCATGCATGGTTTTCTATCGTTGAGAAAGTTTCTTCATTATTTTTTCCCCTTCCTTTGGGTGCTTTGGATAGGAAACTGTGCAATAAATTATAGACCAAACAAAGTGACATGATTAGTTCTTTATAGGTGTGTTATTCTTCTTTGTTTAGATAAATAGATGTCACGAATCTTCGTTTATGTAGTTCTGATTTCATTGAAAAAGCCTGCTGATTTGCTCACTGACCACACTAGTGTTTGTTGAAGGCATGAAGGTTGGCAGAGACAGAATCTAAAACAACAAAAACCAAAAAACAAAAAACCTGAAATTATGAAGGTGAAGAGAAAACTAGTGTTAGCATTGCTACTTTTGCTGGTATGCAAAGAGAATTCGGCTCTTAAAACTGGTTTCGGAGTCTATTGGAGAATAATCAACAGAAAGAAAAATTGATAGCACGAGTGAGAAACCGTTCTTTGCTAGGAAAGTGACTGCAAAAATGACTTAAATGAATCTAAGAAAGACTGAAATAAGAGTGCTTAGTTCTTAATGACAGAGCTCTAGTATTGTGTTAATAATCCAAATTTAGGCCAAAACTAAAATGCCAATGCCATTACTCTTGGTGGATTTTCCCGAGAACCCCCGAGATCATGACATTTGTCAAGAACCGATCGGAAATAGGAAACCGAGATACCGAAACCTATCTCGATCGAGGGAGGGGACAACCTCAATCGAGGTAGTAAGACCGAGACCGAGATTGAGACCAAGGTCGACCGTGTGGTGTCAATCGCAAGTGCACGATATCGCTGACAAGCAATAAAGAGTGAGTTTAAAAGTATTGATCGCACGAGGATAACATATTCATTAAGTACTAAAATTGGATAATTTTAATTTTATTTGAGTAATCAAAAAGATGAATTTTGATTAATTTTACAAAATTAAAATTTAAAAACAACAAAATTTAAAAATAATAAAAAAGAAATTTATTTTCTAAAATGACCAGATAAGGATAAAACAATGATTATAGAAATGTTGGGAATCATGATTCTATCAATATTAATCAAATTTAATGTATTTAAACATTATTGTGATTTTGAGATCATGTTATGTTGCTGGTCAAATCCTCTTATGTTTTAAGTACTCTTTTTCAAGTTATACATAAAATATACATTTTCATAAAAAAAACTCACTATATCTCTATGTGAATTAAATTACAAAAATATTCATTAAGATTAAGGGATTCAAAAATGACAACATAAAAATAGATAGATATATCTCTATACTATCTCAGAATTTACAATATTTATTTTAGAGCTATGTCACAAAAATCTTCTCTCGGTATTTATTTGAGGGGAAAATCACTTTTTCCTCTTGAATATGATTATAAATATACTGTTCATCCTTGTTCTGTTGGACTCCATAAGTCTTAACCACTTCGTGAAATCTTTTTATTCCAAGAACAGTAAGCATGTTTTTATCCATAAATGAATTTGAGCAACTTGTAAACCTTACCCTCCTAACTCTTAGCCTCAAAGCTCTTTGGTTGTACCATATAGATACTTTCTTTAAGATGGTCGTTCAAGAACGCCGTCTTAGCATCTATTTGCCAGATGTCATAATTGAGAGCAAGAACTATGGATAAGAGAATGCAGATGGACTTTAGCATGGCTATAGGCAAAAAAGTTAACACCACACAAGAGTTATTCGGGGATGATTGCCCTTCTGAGGGTGAAAATGCATTTGAACATCGGAAAAGGCCGCCTCCCAAATGAAGAGCAACCATGATGCGTATGGGTTCCCAAATGAGAGATAGTTGACAAAAAATTGAAGTTAAATTTGATATATAAAAAAAAAAAACAACCCCATCGGAAAAGTGGGGAAGGAGCTTCAGAGCTATGTCGGTGTCTTAGCTCGTAAACACATGCCAATTACAGTAGATGATTGGAGATCAGAAGAAAATAAAAATAACATAGAGAGAATTTGGCGCGATATAGTTCAACGTTTCATTGTTCTGGAGACCGCAAGGAAATATGAGCTTAC